AGATGCTGCATCAGCAGAGAAAGAACAGAAGCTTGCCGTCGAGTCTGAGAGGAATAACATTAGTAACAGTTAACCTATCTCAAGCGATTAAAGCAATGTGACAAAAACACACGCAGACCTGACCCACATGTTTTATGTCGCAATTGTTACCATCTATTTGCATTAGTTTATATCCAGCTGGTCACTTTTATGCATTCATTAGCCGGCGAAGTTGTATTTTTAAAACTAGTGACGTGATTGATTGCTTACATTGATATGTTCATGCAGCCGACATCAAGTCTAATCAAGTGTTCTAAAATGTAAGCAAATAAAGTGAAAGACTGTACATGTAATATAGGTCTACATTTATGTAATTTTAATGCTCTGGCCTTTGCAGATATTTAAATATGGCCATCTTCTTTAAGCTTGAATCATATAAATGGTAACACTTTACAATAAGATTACAATTTTAGCATTAAATTTGGTTAATAAATGTTGTAGAAGTATCATTCATTGTTAGATGTATTTGTATCTTCTTAGTTAATGTAGGCCTCCTATGAACTAACAAGAATGATCAAGGTACAATTGTATTGCTCAAATATTAATTCATGCAGTAAAAACCACAGTGGTAAAAACGTATACCGTCAGCTGCATGAACATATCACTGTTGAGAAAGCAAACAAGTCACTAGCTTTAAAAATGCTTGTTTTGTTATTTATTTCAGAAATCCTTGATATATTCAGTTTGTGCTGGTCTGACTTAAATAAAATAGTGTTTAAAAATTACTTTCTGTTTAAGTCAGTTTTGTGTTTGTATAGACCATAACGCATAAAAGGGCATTAATGGGAATTTTTTTTAAGAACTTTCTTTAAAAAAGTAACTAAAAAGTTACTTTTAACAGTAACGCATTACTTTTTGGTGTAAGTAATCAAGTAATTGAGTTACTTTTTGAATGAAGTAACTACTAACTGTAACTAGTTACTATTTCTTAGTAACTAGCACAACACTGCTGTTGAGAGACCTATGAAATGGAACGTCTCAGTTACGTATTTAACCTTTGTTCCATGAGTACGATTGGCGTGATGGTATAAAGGTGTAAGGGGTATACAAAGACCCAGAACCAGATATGAAGAATGAAGACCCGGAGTCAGAATTATAAAAAAATTAAAGAAAAGTTTTACTGAAGATAGTTTGCATTTTCATCAGCAGAAGTCAGCTTGAAGACTCACACAGGAGTTCGTAGGCCGCCCCGCTTACAGTTACAAAGATCACAGCAGTTATACCATTTCCAAGGTCTAAGCTATGTCATTGCTTACAGGTTGAATGATTCTCATTGGCTAAGAAACATGAAAGCCTAAACAATTTAACACATGTGAGGAGATAGGGGTGCCTATCGCCATTAGTAAAGATAGTTGTCGTCCACTCATTAGATTTAGGTCTGTGGTGGCCTCGCAGGTTATAGAGAAGGGCGCCGGGGTGTCTGGTCCGACCGTCCAGAACCTACATAGAATGTCATACGCACACACACACAAATAACAGACACTAGCAAATAACAGCTCCCATCAAGGCTGAAGAGAGTCTGAGCTCCTTATTATCAGTTAAGTATACCAAAACATAATGCTAAAACATTCACTCGTTTGGGAGAAAAACAGATCACTGGCATTTACTCCCAAGGAAGGAAATATACTGGAAAGAATACATTTTAATACAACAATTAAAGTTTGATAGTAACGCTCAATATAGCTTGACCATATGTCCAGCGAAGAATCATATGTGCCCACGCTGCCTTTAGGACCCTCTAACCTTTTTACTGATCCCAGAGAAAGAGACAAACGGCCTTGTGGGTTAAGTGGCCTTCGTGTCCTGCGTGTACTAAGTGCAATCTCAAAGTAAGATTGGAATGCACCTAAAAGAAACTGGTTACTTGCATCCATGCATTTAAGAAAATATAATTTCACAAGCACAAGAATATAAAAATTATTATGTGATAATGAATATATTTGATTATTGATTTTTATAAAGGAAGTATATAACCATTCAAAATGATATATGATTATATATGTATTTGAAGAGGCAAGGGATTTTGACCAACCCTTCAAAGGCTTCAGACATTCTTCACACCGTCGTTCCCATAGCGACAGAATCGCACCCTACTCAGGGAACAAAGGTTACATAACTGAGACGTTTTATAACGTTTTATATTTTGTTTTATTGTTGCCTAAAATATACACTGTAAAAAAATTATATGATCAATAAGTTATGAACACATGTTTTTACATTGCATTAACTAATCAAAATAAGTTAAGCCATTTTCTACTTTTTTGTATAAGTCATACAAGATTAACAAATTTTTCAAGTCAGTTTAATGTAATTTAATTTGAAATTACATAAATATTCAAGGTGATTGTACTTTACAATTTAAAGGTATAGCGGAGGATCTTTCCGAATTTTAGAGAAGACCCACCCTCCTATTAAAAATTAATACTTACGGGTTTCTTTAAGTGAAACGTCAAAAACACTTAGGATTTCCCTTAAATGCTGTTTTTTTTTTCACTTAAGTAGTAAAACCAGCTTATCCTCAGACAGCTTTTTCATAACCATGAATATCACCAGAATGATTGACAACTAGGAGGACCAATAGTCTTGATGATCCACCCGGAAAAAGAAAATCCTCCGCTATACCTTTGAGGCAGCAACTTTTTTTTTTTTACAGTGTAGGGCCCTTTTTTATGGACTCCTTACAGTGTACATATACAGAGATAACCACGTAGCCAGAGAAAGCTGAGTGATGCTATCAAGTACGCTGCTGTACCATTTGCAGAATTAGGACTTGCGGAGTTTGTTCTATGGGGGTAAATTGATGCCAAAACCATTGAAAATGGACAGACTAAAAGTCACAAATAGATATTACAACTTGTAAACACAAAACACAATCTACAAATAGATATAAAATCCGCAAACAAAGTCCTCATGATCCGCAAATGTAAAACAAGATCTACAAATAGATACAAAGTCCTCAAACAAACTCTTTGTGATCCACAAATATAAAGCATGATCTACAAAAAGATTAAAAATCCACAAATAAAAACATCCTGATTCACAAATCAGACAGAAATCAGTGACTTGTTCTTGAAAACCATAATTTGAATGCATGTAAAGTGACTTGTTTGCAGGTGAAGATCATGTTCTGTTTGTAGATTGTGTCACATTTGTTTTCAGAATTCTGACACTATTGTTTCGCTGTTGTGACAAAATAATGGCATAATCATTGAAAATGAAGACTGAGGTGCCATGAAGTTGTTTTTTGGAAATAAAAGTTCTTATGCTTCACCAATAGAAACTCTGATAAGACACTACAATCAGTCCCTCCAGTTTTTCGCGATTCTGCGATCGCTGAATACAACGCAAAATCAACAAAATGTCGCATTTTTTTGCGATCCTGCATAATTCCTAATTTAACCGCAAAATAATCACAAAAATTAAAAAAAGTCCTCACAAAACATTATAATCACCCAATTGAAATATCTCTAGTTAATTAAAGTTTCAATGCATTTTTACATGGGTACAGATTACAGAATAGATGTTGCGCACGCGTGATGTCTGTGAGCGGTCTGTCAGAAACATGGCGAAAGAAAAAGCGTCTCTCCTGCCCTCTCACATAAGCGCCCAAGTTTTCATTAGGCAGTACGGCAAACTTATTAACGCGTTTAACATGATTGAATTACATAACAAAAAGTATGATATGCTCGATGGTACTTAAAAGAATTATTAAAAGCGCAGTATACCGTGAAAGAGAACTAATTTCAGCCAGTCGAGTGACAGTCTGTCTCTGACTACAACAAGTGTGTGTGTGTGTGTGTGACTGACTGACTGACTGCGTGTCACTGCCTGTCGGCCTAGTTAGAATATTGAATTCTCTTTGTAGTGCTTGAACAAATACACATAGCTACAATTACTTCAAAATATTCATCTTGGCAAGTATTTACGTAAAACAATCAGTAATAACTGATTGGGACGTTTGTCATTACTGTAGTAGGTCTTAAAGTGACAGTAACCTAATTTACCAAGCATTAATGTTAATGTTAATCAAGCAACAACAATAGGCTACAGCACAATTTAAAAAAAAGAATTTGATTAGACCAAATAAACAAGCTTTATGCATTTTGTTTGTGATTTGTGTCATGTATGACTATTGTGCAACTGACATAATACTATTATGGTAAATGTGATGTCCTAATTATAAAATATCAAAATCGCAAATTTTTTCACAAATTTTTGGAAATTACCACCACAAAATCAGTCATTTTGATCGCAAAAATCACATAAAAAAATCGTGAAATCCTGGACGGACTGTACAATATACTGCACTTGACCCAAAAATAGAACACAACTTTATTGACACTGGAAAAAGGTAAGTACAATAGTATTGCATAAAGAGGCACTTCGGGTGGTGGTGTAAAGTTCAAGTTCATAAAGTGCTCAAATTCTACTCCATTTTATTCTCTATTCTACTTTGCTGCTCATGTTTTTTGACAACCAGCATATGATTTTGTTGCACAACATGGCATCATGACTTTGCGTAAACATACACGCCACTTTCAAGTCAAGTGGCGTGTTATCTATACGCATTTTGAGCTATCCACGCCGTATGTCCACGCCGAAACGAACCGTCATCTTTTGCGTGTATGTCTACGCCGTTAAATGTCAGAGTGATTCCGCGTGTATGTACACGCCGTTAAATGTCCGAGCGAAACAAAGCAAAATGTAGATCTACATCTGGGGAGCGATATTTTTTTTCCTAGGATGGTAGGGGAAGATTCATAAATGGTATTAACCCCAGTGACGGGTAGGTTTAGGGACGGGGTTGGGGTAGGTCATATATTTATATATACAGTAATGTAACGTTAAGTCAACGGCGTTGATAAACACGCTGAAAAGCTATTATGCGTGTTGATAGCACGCCAAAAATGGAAATACGAATTGGCGTGTGATACATACGCCATTTCATGAGATCAGTCTGTGTTGCATTACAAATGTTGCAATCGACTATATAATGGAAGTGATTTCTAATAGGTAACCAGGAGGCTTCGTGCTTTCATCAAGCGTTTCTGGCGACTGAGTAAGCCTTCCCGCTTTTGTCCAATGTCAAAGTCTTCTTTAAGCAGGTTTTCCACACTATCTTTATCATGCAGCAACTGCAACATGTTCCTTTGCAGCTCCAAAGCTGCTTCCTGGAGCAACATATAGCGGATCACCATTGGGATCTGGTCGGCTAGACGCTTGCTTGCAATCTGGTGAGGTATATAAGACAGCATCTCAGATATACAGTACATTTTGAGCTTCCTCTGATGGCACATAAAGCTTAGTTGGCACACTTACTGTGAAGTAGGACTCTAGGTGCAACCTCATCTCTCGCAAGGTGGCATGATTGCCTGTGCTCACGTCTGCCACCTGGGTTTTATATGGGAGCACGCCATTTTCCTCTTTCATTTTATCCTTTGCATACTGCAGGCTCTGGCTGTATGAGCCATCTTGACTGTAAACAATGAGCTCCATCTTGAATTGGGTCCTCAGCATGGTTTCTGCAAAGGATTCTTTATCCTGCTTGATGGCTTCAATCTTAGTCTAAGAAAGTAAATGAAAGATTAGTTGAAAAATGAAACAAGAACACAATTTCTTTAAATCTGTATTGTGATTTAAAGGCGTAATAGAACATTGAAAATTAACGTGACTTGTAATTCTGTGGAATTTATTAGCATCATCAACACTTGAAAAAAAAAAAGTACCTTTGCTATTTTCAGAAGATTAGGGAAGCCAATAAAGCTGCACTGGGCCAGCTGGACGAACCTCTTTCTAACCACATCTATTTTAACACAAACACACTGTTGGTACAACTGCAAACTTTCACTTTCAATGTTGATTATCCAATGAATCTAGTTGCCTTACATGCCTCACTCGAGGAGAGAATGTTAAGTTCATGGGTTGCCTTTCAATGTAATCTTTGATATTTATCCACTAGGCAACAAAACTACCTACAAATGCATTGTGCCAACTGGAAAGTTCATTGGGTTTGGTATTTCCTGGTCCTGGTTTTCTTGAAAATTCTAAGATTCTATCTTTGAGGCAACAGGTTTTTTTTTTTTTTTCAGCATGACCAAGAGCCCAGGCACAATTTGAGGCCCACGTGAAAATTGTCAATGCCGTATATACCCAAGATGTTAATTGCCAATGTGCAAGTGTCCACATACTTTGGTCATGTAGTGCATTATGAGAGTATCCTCAAGTAGAACAGTACAGTCGGAATAACTTCTGTATATAGTATAATGTAGCAACAACCAGAAAAAGACTGAAAACTGCATAAATAGATTTGAAATAGAAAACAACACAAACCAGAGACAGTCTTTAGTGTCTTTAATGCAGGTTCCTCCAACAGCTTGATCTGTTCCCTGACAAGCCCCTCAAAGGTCTTGTAATTGATGAATCCTGGAAGCTCTCTTCCCCGATATTTGGCTTCATAGTTATCAACTTCTTTCTCAATCTTCTTCTTGACTGCACAGAGTTTTTGAACATTGTCAGAAAAACAAATTCAGTTCCACAACTCAGTTATGAGTTTGGCTTCTAAAAGTGCTTTTTTGTGAATTGAAGTAATTTAAGATTAATTTAGCAATTTAGGCTGGTAATTTATTGATTGCAACTCAGGATAAAACAGGATGCATCAGATGTGAAAATGATAAAGCATTTTAAGCAAAGTAATAACATAGCAGATTGGCCAAAAGCAAGAGTACAATCAGGAGATACCAAGTATAAGCTTCACTCACAGGAATGTCCTGAACGATTTAAGAAGCCATTCCATTTTTCAAATTCTTCCCGAAGTTCTGGAAAAATCAGTAGATCTGAAGCACACTTTAATTCCTCCCCAGAGGTCAGGTTGAACATATCCTGAGTGAAAGCTGTAACTTTCTAAATATAGTGATAAGATGTGAAAGATTTCAGTGACTCTGAGATATCAGTATGACCCTTTACTAAATATTCATACTTTGATATAGTAGATTTCAAGGCTGTACTCACATCAATGAGAAAGCTCAGTCTTTCTGCAGGATCTGATGGGGGTCCGTTGCCGTATGCCTCCAGTTGCTTCTGTGTTTCTGCAAGCTTTGTCTCAATTTGCTCTTCTAAACGAGGCAGGGATTTCTATATAGCAATTATGAAAATTAGCTGTGTATTACAAGTCTAAAAATCCTGTAGTTATCTTATGTTAAAATTAATTATTTCACCTGAATGTGATGAACCAATTCAATTGTTAGTTTCTCAGCCAACTTGGGAATAGTAGCAAAACCTTCTTCATAGAGTTTGCTGAGGAAAAATGGCATACATCATGCATTCTATAAAAGCACAGATTTACTAAAATCTCAAATAACAGGTACTAATCTGTTTGTACTTATGATTGCATGGTCACATACACTACCTGATTTACTAAGTACAGTTGTGCAAACAAGCATGCATGCAAAACGGTTCAAAAAGAGAAACAAACACTAGCCATGCCGCTCACATGAAGGTTCTCAGTAAACTCTATGCTGTTTGATATGTGTATTTAATGTCATGTCTATATATATATATCATGTTTGATATATGTATTTGTAGATTAAAGGTTTGACATTAAACCATTCGTTCAGCTCAACTCTCAACAGACCATTTACCCACCTGAAATGAGGATGGTCTTTGAAGAAGGCATCCTCTGTTAATGTGGCCTCATTAAGAGTGACCTGATCTATAATCTCTTTTTGTCCCCTGCACCTTACAATCATGTAGCCTTTAGTAAGGTGAATGACCTCATTGTGCACAATGTCTACCACTGTCCCTTCAGTGCCCTTATCCACCAGATCCGGCTTTGTTAAGATGCCTGTTGTGTAGTAAAAATATGATCAGAATATTAATGCTCTTAATGCATGGTAACCTATGGTTTTACTGACAGCATTTAAATGCAATGAGTATTGCACACCTAAAGTTCTTTCGCCCTCAGGGTCCTCCCCCTGAGCCATCTGCAATGCTTCTGTGGTCGCGATGTCAACATTGCATGGCACCACAACCAGGTTGATAGTTTCTTGCTTTGTAACAAACTTCCTGATCAGTTTCTTAATCTAGAAGAAAGGCATTTGATTAATGATCGTGTCTTTCCAACAAAATGTAATTTGACAAATATAGTATATACAAAGTTTACCTGATCTCCAATATTCTCAGGTTGACCCTTGACAGCCACTCGTGCAATCCCGGGGAGGTCAATGAGAGTGAGGTCAGGAACATTGGCAGAATGGATCTGCAGACTGATGAGTTCATCACTAATACCAACACCTGCTCCAGCCATCTCATCCTGGGCTACAAACATAATTAGATGTAAGACTTTTTAGAAATGTATCTATACTATTTTGGAAGACCTCAAAGTGCATTCTAAGCATTTTCTACCTTCACGAATCTTTTTCTCCACTTCTGCTGGGTCATTAATGTCTTCCTCGTAGTTCTTGTAACTGATTCTCCCATGCCATTTCTCTTCGCCTTTAGTTCTTATCATCTTGATCTCAAGAGGGCATCGTGTAACAATTCCTTACAAAACATGAAAGGGTGGATGCCAGACAGTTTCACCATCCCTTATAAAAAATTAACCATGTTTTTTGGCTAATTGGTTTAATTATAATAACCATGGTTTTTTGGTTTTATTTGTAGTAAAACCAAGGTTAATTTTCATAAGAGATATGGTGTTGTTCATAGTGTCGTACAGTATGTATACATTCCATGGCATATGAAGGTAATCATTCTGTATCGTGGTATAGAGAGTAGGGGGAGACCGGGGACAGTTGCAACGCTTTTTGCATTTGGCTCTGTTACTCAGAGACGGTTTGGATTAGACAAACCAATTGTTTACAGAATAAACTTATATCTGTATGTTAATAGTCTAAACCATTGAAAGATAATTACAGAATCTACATTTTTCACAATTTGCATTTGAATGTAAGGAGTCAGATGTTGCAACTGACCCCGGGCCCGGGGACAGTTGCAACATTGTTTGGGGATGGTTGCAACATGTTACAAATACAATATATTACAATATATGTCCGTGTTAGCAAAATTATTATTATCAAAAATTGAAGTTATATTACAGTGTTATTTATTCATCAGCTTTGATTAGATGACAATTATAGATTTGTCTAGATGAGTAGGCCTTATATGCAGATGTCAAATATTCAAATTGATATAAAATACAGTAGGCTTTTAGTGACAGGAAGAATGGAACAATTTGTAAGGCAATTTACTGTTGCAACTGTCCCCGTTCCTGTCAGCCATGATAAAACCACATGTGCTAGCTAAACAATTGACCTTGATACATGGTAATCATACTAGCTTAAAGTTAACATATCACTAATTTAAACCATATAAGTTTGAGCTGAATCACAAAAACAGTGACAACAGTTTAAAAAAAACAAAGCTCAAGAAAAAAAATACTTTCATACTCTAAAAACAGTTTTTCTTCAATAAATCCTGGATAAGCTCAGGAATCTCCTTGATTTTTCTCTGCAAGGGGGGGCATCCAATTAAGCATGTGGAGTGTGAGTGCCATTACTCTAGCTTGTTTCTGGTTGGAGAAAAATGACATGTTGCAACCATCCCCTGTTGCAACTGTCCCCGGTCTCCCCTACCATCACTGTGCCATGGTATATCCACAGTATTTTATAGAAAGTTAAAAGTTAATTACGTAAAAGCAATACAATTAATATTGTTGTATGTTTTAATTGTATGTGTTCTCCTTACCACTACCCCTGGGTAACGCTACCCCTGACAGCGCCTCCAGAACAGAACTCTTTCCTGAGCTTTGGTCTCCAATGACGGCGATGGCAGGCAACGCCAGGTCCTTTTCGACTCCCAAAGAACGTAAATTGTCGATAGTGTCGATGCAAGGGCGGATTTTTTCCTCATAATGCTGACTGAACGTGTAACTCATTTTCTCCATCCTTAAACAACGTCAAAATGTCAACAGTATAAAGGTTGCTGATATGTCAGACGCTGACGCTGTTTATTCGCGCACTCCTCGTATGGATTGTCTCAGAGTGATGCTGGTTTTATCGGTATCCGGTAAAGTGAATCCTAGAGCGTTTATGTACGTGGGTAAGTTTCATTTCTTGGGTATCACAATAGTTTCGTTTCGCCCCTTTAAATACGCGTTAGACTATACCACAATCAGTGTTGCCAGATTGGGACGGCGATTTCCAGCCCAAAAGCTCACCAAAACCCGCCCACTACAAGAAAAAAACGCCCAAAATTGTACTGCAAAATAATGTGATATCATTTCATTACCAAGTCATTTAAGGTTGATAAGCACAATTTGTATCTCCTTAAAACAAAATAACGATGATAAAAAAAAAAAAAAAAAAAAACATTTTCCAGGAAAACAGATCAAAACAGGGCAATAATTAAGGAGAATTAGACAATATGACTAAAATGTCCAGGTGGACACTGTCAAAACAGCAATCAAGAAATGAACCGAAGACTTTAACCCTCGATCGGAAGTAGCCTACACATTGCAGAACATAACGCAGAATTTAGCAGTCAAAACGGATTCATCGTTGATTCAAACCTTTTTCAGCAGCTGTCAGGGACAAGTAGAGTGCAGTCTGGATGGTGTAAAGTTACAGATGTTTGGTTAGGCTAGTGTGCACATATGACATGGACAGGAATCGTCCCATATTTGATTTCAATTCAAGTCATTCACTGTGCTCTCCTCTCAGAGAGTTATATTCACCATAGAGTGATCTCCTTCCACGTGTGCGTTTTTTAGAGTTGCTCACTACTGTACGCTCTTTTGTATAGTAGGCTATGTCACTTTGCCTTAGCGATCACTTGAATATACAGCTACAACTTCTCGCGCTCAATCGCGTCTGCCTGCGGATCGCTGATTGGCTAAAAGTGCGTGCTCGTCGGTGATGTCAACACTAACGCCAGCTGACTCTGCATGAGCGTGTGCGTGTACAGTAATGTCATGATGACTGATTTTATGGACTACATGCACTTTAGTTTCGTTTTTTTTTTAACCGATTAGACTTTAAAATGTAGATGTTTGAAAACCGCCGAAATGACCCCAAACCAGCCCAAATTTTGACCACCCGCCCAAACCCTTTTCTACCTGCACAATAAAATTCAAAACCGCCCAATCTGGCAACACTGAACAATATCCTGCTGTTTCTATTCAAATGAATACGCATGCATGGCTTCCCTATTTGTTTTAGCATGTAGCCTACTACGAGCATTGTGTATGAATTAGCATAAAAGCAATACAGTGCTACAAATGCAATTTAGGCCCTAATCTCCCCATATGATCAATTACTTTTTAAAGTTATACCCATGCGTTATTTGCAAAATGATTGATATTGAAATATAATAATAATTAAATAAAATAATAAATATAATTAATTCAAAAAAAAATTTATTTTAGTGTCAATTTTTGGTTGAAGTTTGTGTTTTCTGGTGAAGTTTCAGTTGAAATCAAAATATATTGCTAGGGTATAAAAAATAACCTCTAGAAATAATATTTGAAATACCCTGTAGAGGGGGGTGTTTATCCATAATCACAATACAGAGATGATTAGGTGAACAGAGCAGCACTGTCTGACTAGAAGGTTTTCTGACCATGATAATTAAAGCACCCACAATAATAAGTCATCTCAAAAGTTTAAACCTATCATGCTGTAGTCTATGTATGTATCATGACTTATAATTTGTACCATTCCTATCATTTGTACCACCGCAAGCCCTAACAGCTGACATTAATTCATGTATAGCTCTTGGCAAGTGCATTCTTTTCATTGAACACAGGTCATCACATTTTTAACACTGTAAACTAGTGTAAAAGGACAGGAATTCTTCTGTCAACATTGTATTCTGCATAATTTCAAATATGACGTTTTTGTAAATTGTTACTGAAAAAGTACAGCAGTTGTTTATACTGTTTGTTTACCAAAACTGCTTCAAAGAATGGTTTTAATTCATTTTGTGCTTTCTTTTAGACTATTCTTCTGAAAACCAACAAGGTGCAAGTTCAAAGTAATGCACAAGCTTTGCTCAATGCCTTGGAGGACTGTTAGTATCACTGGCTGTTTGACCAGTGTTTATTGACCAGAACACATTTTCAGGGACATTGAAAGATGTTGTAAATATTGTTATAAATGAGCTTTTAAAATATTTATTCTGTGTCAGATATTTCCCATTACGTCTATAGTCTTGAGGAAGCATTATTGTGACCCCATTTGATCGTGTGATTTTATACATTAGCTGGCTCTCCAAGCCCACCCAAGCCTCAGTATTAGACATTGCATGTGGTGCTATAGCATGACTGGATGTGTCTTGAAAGTCAGGCAGCTGAAACAAGCCATCCTGAAGTTATAGTTTGGGTGGAATGGAAACTGAGCTCCAGTTTTAGAGTCAGCCAAGTAGTTTGAAGGATGTAGTCAAAGATATCTGTAAAGATATGTTGAGATTATTTGTTTGACATTTTTATCTGTTGAATACAGCTAATTGTGACATGTCTCTCTAGATTACTTTATACTGATTAGTCATTTGCAGTATTGAGTGATGAAATATGTTTTGAATCATGACGTTGACCATGCCAACATATTTGTGCCAATAAGGCCCTGTCCCAAATACGTATAGACAACCAGATAGTGGACTGAGGTGAAGAGTGCTTGTCGCAAATTTAACCCCTTGTTTAATGTGATACAAGACTCTCTATACGTGTCTTTTTCACCCTGTCATGGTTTATTCAGCAAATGACGCCAAAAGCAACAATTCCTTCAACATTCGGTAACTGGATATTATTTTTATTGATTTTTAATGGATTAATGTTGTTTCCTAACATGTCTCTTTGCTGTTAGATTATTCATCCATGACATCTTGAATCTTTAACAAAGCTGGTTTCAAATTTCATTCACATTTACAATCTTATTCAGTATTTTTACACTCCTATTGAAACTCGTAAAATTTGAAAAAAACTGAAAAAAATGATTTTTTTTTTTAGTCAGACCACCATGTATCAATTCTGTACTTGTATTATAATTTGTGTCCTCACTTTCACAGAAATGGAATAATCAATAAACATATCAGGAGTTTGATTATTATGCCTGGATGTTTTCTGGCAATGATAAACAAGGTGTCACTAAAACGTTAAAGGGATAGTTCACACAAAATGAAAATTCTGTCATCATTTACTCTCATGTCATTTCTATCCTAACCTGTATGACTTTCTTTCTTCTGTGGAACACAAAAGATGATGAATAATGTTGGTAACCAAACAGTTTTGGTTCCCATTTTCTCCCATTATGTTATATACATATACATATACACATACATATACATATACAGACACACACATACATATAAATAAATACTAAACACTTGACACTTTTGAGCTTTTGAGTTTGAACAGGATCAGGGTTTTTTTTTTTTATGTGTAAAAGTTTGTAACACCACAGATGTTATTTTTAAAGCAGACTAGACCACATGTGTTTGAGGAACCTGCAATGTCCAGTCTGTTATTACTTGAATCCTTTCCCATGCAAATGAAACATATACACACACACACACACACATATACGCATCTTCCCCTCATTGAGCCATGCTTCCTTCCTATTCCCAGATGCTTTTGTATGGAGAGCCACCCAGTTATTTAAAAAGTCCATTAGGCCCTTGTTTAGAAAGCCTGAGATTAAAAATAACAAGAAACAGGCGCATGGAATATGCCAGCGTCACATGTTGTGTGCTGAAGATGTTTGGGCATTTGCACGAAATTTGAAATAAAGAAAAATAACACAAATTAAAAAATACTCACAAAGACATTTCCAACGTCTAGTTCAAAGTTATTATCTAAAAAGGTCAAATTCACTTGGAAATGGAAAGAAGACTAGTCTAAGCATATGGCCCTCCTCAAGGGACATTTTTATCGTCAAGGTTGTCATTTTAATCAGAGCTGAATTTGACAAACACCAGGACTGTTGTTTTTTCTTCGCTGTTTTCCTTTCTTTTACCACAACCCAAAAGAAATACAAAATGACATTATTTGTATAACCTTTGTCACTGACAATAACATATTTAAGAAAATGCATACATTTGGTCTCTCTGTGTGTATGCACAAGTTCGGCTTTTAAAAACAACGGGCTGCATATGTTTTTATTTCCATTTTTGGTTTTTCTAAGTCGAATCTTCTTGATGTTAGAACTAACAAAACAATGTTAGTGTTATTGCATCCTTTCCCACAATCACTGTAGAGTTCAAGTCACCTTTATTTATATAGCGCTTTATACAATAGAGCTTGTTTTAACAGTAATAAGAGGAAAATTATGCATTTCGGCTGTTTTTAGGCTCAAGTCAGTTCAGTGTTGATTCAGTTCTGATGTAAAGATCATCAATTATTAAATTAGTTCATTTCATCTATAAAGCAGTTCTATGATGTCATTGTCCAGCTCAGATCAGTTCTCATACAACCCCGGCATTACATTGTTGCATATCTCATCCCATGTACTTCTTTACACTGTTGTCGCCCACCACTCTGAGTGAAGGTCCCTCAGTTGCCTGGGATCATAGATGCTGGCAGGCTGAAAATGGGAAGCATGACATAGTCCAAGAAGCATGAAACTGTCTCACCCACGCGCTCCTGTCTGATGTAGCCCACGGAGACCATGTTCATATTGAGACTTGAAACTACCTCTAAGCTCAAACGTCTTCCTCTATTTGTGCATTGGTTTGGTCACTTTGTTAAATCCTTCTAAATGTGAGATCACCACTTGTGTACTGCTGAACAGGCTGTAATTTTTCATGTCTTTTATGCTTTTGTTAACCACAAGCTGTTATTTCTTTCTATTAAAACATGAAACACCTCATTCGTTGTCTTCGTTATGTGCGCAGGGCTTATTGCGTGGTGATTTATGCGATGAATATGTAAAGCCATGCATTAAAAGAATTCTCTCCTGATTAATCACTGTTATACTGTCATAATTCATTTGCAATAA